TCTGTGAGATGCAGGTTCCCTCGTGTGTGTGTGTGTGGGGGGGGTCTGTGAGATGCAGGTTCCCTCCTGTTGGGGAAGGTCTGGGAGGTGCAGGTCCCTCGTGTGTGTGTGTGTGGGGGGTCTGTGAGATGCATGTTCTCTCGTGTGTGTGGGTCCTGTGAGATGCAGGTTCCCTCCTGTGGGGGAAGGTCTGTGAGATGCAGGTTCCCTCATGTGTGGAGGAGGGTCTGTGAGATGCAGGTTCCTTCGTGTGGGGGGGTCTGTGAGGTGCCCGTGGTTTATTCTCCTTCATCATTTTCCACTGTCCCCGATGTTTTTGCCACAGCTATTCAAAGAACAAGTCATGGCATCTTACAGATTATATTTCAGAAGAAGCAGTCAGATAAGATTTTTTGCCTGACCAGAAGCTACATTTTTCTTTAGGAAAAGGAGTCCTTCAGTTAAAACATGAAAAGAAATCACTATGAATTTTCATCACAGAGCTTCCTGCCCCCAAAGACATATCTCTTGCAAAGGAACAGGCTGTCTGCCCAGGTGCTTGGAACTGGGAGTGGAGCCCGGAAAGCAGGTGTTTCCCCCCACACTAGGCATTAAAGCCTGACGTTCCTCAAATTTGTCTCTGTCCCCTGAGATCCCCTTCCGACCTTCATTCATCAGATGGTTCACACCTTTCCACAGTGCTGGCCCTGGGCAAGGGGCCAGATAGCGTCAGAAAGAGCAGTGTGCTCTGAGGACCACAGGCTTTTCATCTCTCCCCTCTTCTGTTCATTTAAAACTACCGGGAAAGGCCAGGCGCCGTGGCTCACACCTGTAATCCCAACACTTTGAGAGGTCAAGGCAGGTGTATTGCCTGAACCCAAGAGTTTGAGACCAGGTGCTGTAGTTTGAGCTACAGCAGGGGTCCTCAAACTACAGCCCGCCGAGGACATTTATCCAGCCCGCCAGTTGTTTTTGCCACTGCTGCCTGTCCTGCTTAGCAGCCTTCATCCTGGGGCTTGCAGTCCAGCCCTCCAACAGTCTGAGGGACAGTGAACTGGCCCCCTGTTTAAAGTTTGAGGACCCCTGAGCTAGAATGAGATTCCTTATCTAAAAAAAAAAAATGGCTGAGCATTGTGGCAGGAGTCTGTAGTCCTAGCTACTCGGGAGGCTGAGGCAAGAGGATGACTTGAACCCAGGAATGGAGGTTGCTGTGAGCTATGACACCAGAGCACTCTACTGAGAGTGACAAAGTGAGACTCTGTCTGGAAAAAAAAAAACCCTGTGAAGTAAAGATTTTCTCCAGGGACTGAGGATACACAGCTAGAAGGGACTGAGGATACACGGCCAGGAAGGGACTGAGGATACAAGGCCGGAAGGGACTGAGGGTACACGGCCGTAAGGGACTGAGGATACACGGCCAGGAAGGGACTGAGGGTACACGGCCAGAAGGGACTGCGGTGGGCTTCAATCCAGGTTTGGCTCCTAAGCCACATACCTTCTCCTCCTATTTTAGTCAAACAGCAAATACTTTCTGAAATCATCATGGCAACAATTTATATTATGATGTTTGAAAATTTCAGTTGCTCAGAATAGTCAGTAATAAATTTTATTAGTTTACCTCCATGTAACAAATATGGACACCTGTAAAAGTCGGAAGGAGGCCCAGGCTGTGGAACCTGTCGGGGGCTAGAGGCCTCTGCAGGTGCCTCTGACTTTCCCTCCTGACAGGCAAAGCAACACTCTGGTCTACACAGTTAAGAATCATTTGCTGCCGTCTGTGAAGCAGACAAGGAATATAACGAAACTGAGGCTCCTCTGTCAGTTCACGGAGTTTGTACAGCTCAGAAGACAGAAAATTATAATTTCATTGCTTTGTGATTACTTTGTAAATTAATAAGTAAAAATGCTGGAGGTGTACCCAACCCATGGGCATTGTATTTAGATCAAATTTGGGGGTAGAAATCACATTTCGAGGCATTCCAGTGCTGTGGCTCAGGCTTTCTGGAATTGCAGGCGATTATGCAGCTTTGGTAGTAGAATCTGCTGACTCAGGAGGGAGTGAGAGTCACAAGGGCCTGGGGGCTCTCTCCGCCTGTGCAACTGTGCTGTTTACAAGGACAGAGGCACCCAACCACTGGGCAGGTGAGGGGCAGGTGAAGACTGGCTTCCCTTACAGAGAAAGCCAAGAGCTGAAGTTCTAACCATTCTCCAAGTCCCCATAGAAGCAGACATCCTGTTTTTCCCTGTCATTGGCCCCCTAGGAGAAGAAAGACACAGAAGGGTATTTTCACTTACGTTATAATAAAGTGCACAGCTTCTGTTAAGAGACTATGTTCCCAAATTTTCCTGTTAACACCCTCTCCCTGCAGGCTGCATGATGAGACGTGAGAGTCCCCAGAATCCCAACTTCCCTCCTAAAATAACATCAGTCCTGCAGCTGTGTTAGTGCAACCCCTGCACTATGGAAAGGCAGTAATTCACTGAGCACAGCCTTCGATGGCCTCACTCCGGGGAAGTGAGCACATGAGTAGAAAGTCCAGTCCAGCACTGCACACAGGCACAGGGCGGGCGGAACAGTGCGAGTGGCCGGGAGGCAGCCACAGAGGAGGCCCGCAGTCTCCAGCACTGCTCCTCCCCGAAGGTTCTGTGTGCTTTTTGAAGGATTTTAGACCCTTCTTTTCCTTCAGCAACCCTTTCTGGAGGACCTGAGGCCATAGCTGAGGTGAATGAGCTCATACCACCCAAGAGGCCTGGGCTGCTCCTTGCTGCTGACCTGGGACCCACATCAGAGCCACCTGCCCAGAGGAGCCAGCAGCATCCCGGCCAGCATGCCCACCCCCTCCTCCAGGGAGCCTGCCAGGGGCTCCACCACCATCGGGACCCCAAGAGTGCCCCACCACCAGTAAGCAGCCTTTAAGCTGGGTACACGTACTTCTAAGAACATCCAGATCAGCACCCACCTTCTTCCCTGGTCCAGGGCACCCCACCTGCCTTTCAGTTGTTCACTTTCTTGAGCCTTAACATCTCAAATCAAAGGTTTAGACATAAATCTCTCATAATATGTCGAGTTTCACCAGATTTTTGCTGTCAAAGTACATAGAGCAAACGTACCCAAAGCACATACATAATTTCATTTCCTACAGCAAGATAAGAAACACCAGTTCCCTTCCTGTATTCCTGTATTGTAATACAGTTAATTTCTCCCTTAAAATCAATAAGGTCTTTAACAGCAAAGAATCTTAACTGTCAATGGCAGAAACAGGAATTAGAGTGGCACATTTTAGATCCCGAGTTCTGCATTCATAGTGACATTTGAGCTTGAACTTGCCTGAGGACACTTAACTCTGCTCTTTACTTTAGGAAAAAAAGAAAACACAACAGAAGGAAACACGTCTGGAGCTGGAAGGAAGTCAGTGCTGACCGTAGGGTCGGGAAAGTTGCAGGCGGACACCGGGAAAGGCACATGTCCCAAGCAGCTATTTCCAGATCTGAATCATTTTGTGATTATTGCCCTAAAAATGTGACTACAGTAAAAATATTCTTCTTGTTTTATTTGGAAGTAAGTGCCTTTTCTCTTTCATGAGGTAGCTTATTTTACCTAGAACGCTGTGGATTTAAATGTGATTCCCTTAGGAAGATGAAGTCTGCTCCTGAATTTGCTGCATACATGGCCCTAGACACCTGGTTTCTAGCTCAGCTTCTGTGAATGGTATTTTAAAAAATAACTGGAGCAGACTTTACCTCCTTCATGTTTACATGGATGGAGCTAGAAAATATTCTTCTTAGCAAAGTATCTCAAGAATGGAAGAAAAAGTATCCAATGTACTCAACCCTATTATGAAACTAACTGTTAGCCATCATAGGAAAGCTATAACCCAATTTTTGTCCAAGAATACGGGGAAAGGGGAGAGAGAGAGGAGGGGAAGGGGGGAGGATGGGTGAAGGGAGGGGGATTGCAGGGATCACGCCTATGATTTATCTTATAAGGGTACATGTGAATCTTTCTTAATGTGGATTATAAATGTCTTAACACAACTATGAGAATGACATGAAGGCTATGTTGGCCAACTGGATGAAAGTATTTCAAATTGTATATGGAA